ACTCTCGCACAATTTATAACGTAGTAATGTCGAATTGAAGTTCTTTCCGGCAAATACGACTTCTAAACTACAGCCCCTTGATTTGGGTATCATTCGTGCCTTTAAAGCGAGGTATAGAAAGCACATGGTTAAACATTTACTGCCACAAATTGACAACTGCCATTCAGTGATTGAACTTTGCAAAGAGATAAACGTTTAAAAGCCATTCATTGGATTAAGACGTCGTGGAACGAAACCAAATCCACAACAATTGAATCATGTTTTCGTGATGCGGGATTCCCCTTAGAGGCCCCATCGAATGTAGATGAGCCTGAAGACCCGGATGATGAAATACCGTTAGCTGATTTAGTACAACAGTTAAAGTCAAAGGACCCGAGTGTGCAAATAACTGAAATTGACGATGTTGACGACAATTTAGCCACGGAATAAGCACTTGACTGTGATTGGCAATCGGACTTGCTAAGTGAATGTACTGGATATCCGTTAATTGAATCAGACGATGATGTAGAAACAGAAATTTCAACAGAGGTTCAACCAGGTTCAGATATGAACCATACTAATATTTTGGATTTATTGACAAATTGGCGCAATTTTTCTATTACTAAGGATAGTCGTTACTTAAATCAAATGGAACAAATGATTCCATTTGATCGAGGACTTCATTGTGAAAAGCAAACTAGCTACACGTCTGACAACATTGGATGATTATTTCTCTTTACAATGAGATCGGTGAACAGTTTGAACTTACACTTATTAAAATTGTAATTATGTTTTTTTCTGCATCTATAAAATATCTTTTCGATACATTTCATTTTTATTTTATTTTACATTGAAACTAACACAACAATACTTGTCATCTGTTGTATTACTTTGTGTCTGTCGTCAGTGTCAAAATGATTTTGAACTGTGCACTTCCGTTTACCTCTACAATCCTGTGAAAACCGAACAAAACACAAAGTCCCATGGGTGTTCGGTTTGGACAGGTTTCACTATATAAACAACTATCATACAAGTAGAAGGGTTGAAATAGCTATAAAACCCGGTTTACTCCACCATATTTTTCTGAAATTGCCTGTACCAAGTCAGGAATATGGCAGTTGTTTTTCACATGTTCCGTTGATTGGTAGCGTTTGATTTTTTCATGTTTTTATGAACATTCCCATTTTGAATTTGCTATGGGGTTCAGTATATTTGTTATATTTTTGTGTACACCCCTGATTACATCAAGATAACTAGTAATATTAAAATTGATTTATAAAAATAATGAGACAACTATCCACCAAAAATAGTTAGAAAGCCAAACAAGTATAAAGTTGAAGAGCATTGAGGACCCAAAATTCCAAAAAGTTGTGCCAAATACGGCTAAGATAAAAAAGGCCCAAACATAAAAAAAAATCAATTCAATTGAGAAAAGTAACGGACTCATTTATGATAAAACAATTCACAAAAAACAAATATGACAGACATAAGCCAACGACAACCCCAGAACTATAGGATGTGGCGGGATTAAACTAATTTGCTGGCTCCAAACCCCCCTTACCTGCAACATACTGTTGTGAAATTGAAAGGTTATTTGGACAAATCTCACAATTATGATTTCTTATGAAATAATATTCCTTTCGTATTATTTAAGGATTATGTACCCTTGTGTTGATTCAATGCTAAACATAAGGAAATTTTATAGAAAATCCCCAGCCTTTCCGCTTGTACTCTCATATTTGACAATTAGATCCTTGATAGATACAGGATTATTGCATGCAGTGCTAGCAATAATTCCTTTACAACAAGTTTATGAATTCAGATATTGGTTAAAACAAATATAGATATGGATCAATTCAAGTACACCTTTTAGGGTGCGCTCGACTTTAGTGACCCAGCACGAGGTGTTTTGGAATTTAAAGGTTGTTTAGAACTTTTTGTAAACATAAACGCTAGCTGATCATAGAAAAACAAGTGAGTAATCTATGTTTAAAATTTAATAACAAAAAATCTCTGTATTAAAGCCTGTGGATTTTCTACAAAAATCTTGGTTTTATTTTCACCAAATTCTCTTTTTCTACTAAATGCAATTATACTATAAATAATAATGCTTTACACGAAGTTTCCCCTTGACATATGTACAAAATGGTCCATCTCTTTTATTCATTATCTTTGCTGTTTTGATACTATTGCAGTTTGAAAATTTCGTAATTGACAGGCCACAGAAGGGGTCATAAACCTTAAGTTTGACCAATTTGTGAAACCTGAGAAATCACATTTTAGCCATGCTTACATTTATTAATCAACGTTTTCCGTAGCATTAACTGTGTTAATACATTTTTCCGCCAATCTGTAGCTCCATGTTTTGTGCAAGAGTTGTCGTTCTTATCACAACAAAGTAGTTATTTTAAACTACGGGATTTAATTCCGGTTGTGCTTATTGAAGTATTGTTTCTTTGGAATAAAACTTGTTATTGTATAAATGTATTGTCATGCATATGTGTCAGTGTAATAAACGCGTAAACGGGATCCGCTAAATGTAGGAAATTACGGGGAGTGGCCCTTGAGAATGGCATTTTTGGTTTCTAACGTAGACAACTTGGTTAAACTGTCCCAGAAAACGGCTGTTTATTCATTCTCATGACCTGTTCATTTCACGTTTGTAAGATTGTTAACCGCTTTTACATGTTAAGGGCTGCTGACACACTGACATTTATTTCACATCCACTTGTATTTATTAAAACTATACCGTACGATATCTCTTTATAGACGTATCTTTAAATTCAATTGTAGATAAACAAAACAAAAAAACACTTTCAAAAGTTTCCTATCAATGGATTTCGACATTGCCAATTAAAGAGTGGCGAATTATACCAAAGGGACATTCAAACTCATACCACTGTCCCAGGTTAGGGGAGGGTTGGGATCTCGCTAATATGTTTAACCCCGCAACATTCTGTATGTATGTGCCTGTCCCAAGTCAGGAGCCTGTAATTCAGTGGTTGTAATTTGTTGCTGTGTTACATCTTTGTTTTCCGTTCATATTTTTGTTCATAAATTAGGCCGTTAGTTTTTTTCGTTTGAATTGTTTTACATTTGTCATTTTGGGGGCTTTTATAGCTGACTATGCGGTATGGGCTTTGATAATTGTTGAAGGCCGTACGGTGACCTATACTTGTTAATGTCTGTGTCATTTGGTCTCTTATGAAGAATTGAATCATTGAAAATCATACCACATCTTTTATTTTATATCATAAGTCGAAAATAAACTGACAACGCCGTTGCTAAAAAAGAAAAAGACAGACAAAAACATAAACAACAGTACACAAAACAACATCGAAAACCATAGACTGAGCAACACGTACCCCACCTAAAACTTGGGGTGATCTCAGGTGCTCGGTAGGGTAGGCATATCCTGCTCCACATGTGTCCCCATCGTGTTGCTCATGTAAGTTCAAAACCGGTTATATATCTTATTCGGTAGGTCACATTTGGGGGAAGGGACGATATTGTAGTTACGACAATTGAAATATATCCGTCGTCATCTGTGAAACAAATATTCCATAACCGTCAACCAACTCATGATGGCGTCCATAAAATTTACGAAGGGATGATTTCAAGTTTGAACCCTTGGTTTAATAGCTTTCTTGTTAGCAACAACCCTCTATCAAAGAACCCCCAAGGGTGACTGGGGAATAGAAGTATGGTCACCATTGGTCTTCCTCCGACCGGCAGCAAAACCCGTGCTAAAGTGGGGCGTCCGTTTGGCTGTGCGGGATGTACAAATTTGCAGCCACGTCCGGTCAGAATGGGGACGTTAAATCCGATGCCTCGTGTAAAGAGAGTGCAACGCTCTTTGCACGTTAAGAACCCTTGCAACAACTCTTTGAGGGGTCCGTAGGTGACCTGTTGCAAGGCTAAATTTCTGTCCCTATCCAATATACCCTTATTTCCCGTGGCAGTCTAAATTTCTCCGACCTTAATCCCGGACGCCCCTTTTACAGAACCTACCTGTTGTATTTATTGTTAATTTGTTCTCATCCTGAATATGCATGAAATATTTGCCACTGGACGTTAAGCAACCAACAATCAATCAATCAATCTATCAAAGAAATCATGATAGGAAACACAAGCCCTGGAATATCGTATCAACTGTAAGATATATACTCCGTATGCAGGCGCTGATGGAATGTTGCTTCATAGAAATGGAAAGTTCACAATTTGGAAGCTGAACTCATCTCTTTTGTTGTAAAGTTTGTTTTCAACCAACCATCATGGTCAATTTTTAGATGTAAGTCAAGATATGAGGCAGAATTAAATGTATCTGTTGTATTCTTCTAAGTTCGTTCATCATGTTCAATAATTGATTGATTGATTAACAAAGAAAATTTAATGTCATTTTACGTTTTATGCACTTTTTTTTATTAAACATTGTTAAAAGGTATGACAACTAATATATGATTGCTACAGTATAAACGAGAAAAAATAATGAGGATATTTTCTCTTTCGTACTTCGTGTTTTATAATAATATATAAACAGGTTTTGACAAAGCCAAGATGGCATTTTGCCGCAAGGTTGAATTAGTATTAGTATAATTTATAAACAAAGGAATAAAAATTAGACCAACGAATCATCTAAATTGTTTTTAACAGTGTACTATGTTGTCTCAAGTTTTCTTTGATATGTTTTTCACTAATGACTTTTTTGCATCTATTTTCGTTTATCATAAGTGATGTGCGACTCGTATATTTCTACATCACCGTCTTGGCAAGCAGTTTTAAATCCTGAATTATATCAATACAGTGTTTACCTAGCATGTCGAATAAATTTATCGATCATTATTACTGCCAAGTAGTCACTAGACGATAGCTAATGGCCTTTATCCTGTATGTACATCCCACACGCTTATTATCAATTACGTAACATTGGTTTTGATTCATCACCTATTAAAATGAAAATTCCCAAGTTAAAAATAGAATTTAAAATTTGATCGATACGATGTAATTAAAGGATGCAATCACAGTAAGTATGCATTAATTGTCGTGTTTCCTTACGATATACATCGTTTTTACAAATATGTATACTTCACAAATTACAGGTAAGTCTTAATTCTATGTTCTATTTATAAACTATATGGTTTTTTTCTTATATAACGTGTCTTCCTTATCAAAATACAGAGTAAATTTACAATGAATGTTTTTTTAGAGATTAAATATATTTTCGTATAAGGCACCGATTATTTGTGGCTAGACTGTCTTTGGGGAAGGAAGTGGGTACAAATTTCTTTCTCTGTAAAAACAATTGTTTAAGAGTTTTAACATAATATAATATGTTCAATAACTAACAGCTTATAATTTCTTTTTGAAACTAAATGCTTTTTTGTCCTAAAACAGCAAAACATTATTTTGAATATCCTTATTAAGTATTCTCTAATAAGAACTTTCAAAGTTATCTTTTATAAAAAAAACAAAAACAAAACCAACGTCCAACCAGAAAAATACAAAAAAAAAAGGGTCAGCATCAAGCTAGAGGAGGTCGTGTTTGCCACAAATACAAAACACACTTAACATTTAACAGTCTTGAATTATGATTAAAACAAATTTTCAATAACAAAAATTAGAGAATTTGAATACGCCAATAATTCGTTTGGCATACCTAGCTGAGTAAAGAAAATTTCCATTTTTAGGCGAAGATATTAACGCATCTCAGATTTTGTATGTATGCTAGAAATCGAGACAGTCGTGAAAAGGATTAGCGTAAATAAGTGCATGCGTATCTATTGCATCTATTTCAATCGTTTCAAAAGTGCACTACGATTTGTTGTGATGATGTTATATTGGCCTTCTACACATAAGTGTATATCCCTTAGCGTCATGTTATTGTCATGTTGGTGTACGAACAATTAAATTTCGCACCGTCCTTTAGTTTCTAGAATGTCCAATTATCAAACACCAATTGCAAATGAGCACAACTGTTTAAATATATTATCTCCCTGTTAGTCTCTATTCTTTAATTTGTTGGTCCATTTCTATTTTTTTCTTATTTTTTCTAAATTACTCTCCTTTCCTTACTTGACACCGCATTGAGACCTCATGCAGAGCACATGGCAATTTATCAATAACTACATGTAACGATGTTAATTCATCCAGATATACCGTAGAAGCGAGTGCCAAGAATTACAATTGTTCTTTTTTCTGACATCCGTCGTAAATAGTCTTCCTACATCTGCATCTAATAAAACCTCTACTAGTTTATCTGCATCCTGTACAAAGTCTACTAAAGCCCCGTCTCCTCTTCGTTCTCCAGAACAGAAGAACGTCCCAAAGAAGCCAGCACATCCATCCTCTCAGAAGTCTTCTGATACGAGGTCGCGGGGTAGGGGTCGAGGCGGAGTAACACCACATGCGTGTGGTCCAGGAGATCAACGACTCTCCTCACACAACATATTTTCAACACGTAACGACGAATCAGAAATAGAAATATCACAATCTCAGGGTGAGCGAAATAAGAATGCTGGCAAACTCGATAGCATTCGTCCTTTTGTTAATAAAAAATGACAAATATTATTCAATGTAATTGCCGAGGTCTTAAATTAAATCTTCTCGAGTTAACGCTTCTAGTTCAGTTTTTTTTACCTATTGCATTTTGTCTTCAAGAAACTCATCTAAAAGAAAGTGACAATGTATCTTTAAAAGGATACAACATATATAGCACATTTTCTAAAGTAGACAAACGTGCTGCAGGCGGATCAACCATTTTTGTGAAGGACAACGTCATTCATTGCACAGTCCAACTCACCACAGATCTGCAGGCAGTTGCAATTCGTTTATCATTAGATAAAACAATTACATTATGTTCTATGTATATTCCGCCCAATTCAAATATAGATAAAGCTAAACTCAAAAACCTCACTGATGAATTACTTTCACCTTTTATACTTATGGGAGACTTCAGTGCCCACAATCCGTTGTGGGGAAGCAAGTCTCATAATGCCAAAGGTAAAATTATTGAAGACTTTGTCTCTCAAGAAGGATTATGCATTTTTAATGATGGATCTAATACTTATCTTCACCCTGGAAACGGGTCTTATTCTGCTATTGATATCACTATTTGCGATCCCTCTCTTCTTCTGGATTATTCATGGCGTGTTCATGATGATCTATGTGGAAGTGATAGTACTTGAACATCTTTTCACTTCTGCTCAACAGAGAGTACCTCGCTGGAAATTGGACAAGGCGGACTGGCCCTTGTTTGAGAATCTCTGTCAAGCGGAACTTCAGTCAAAGATGTTTGAGACTGTACAAGATCCAATTTTAACTTTTAACACAGTTTTAACTTCAATTGCAGACAGAATAATCCCTAAGACCTCGGCAAATCTAAAACATCCCAGCAAACCATGGTTTGATGACGCATGTGATCAAGCCATAGGTGACCGTAAAAAATCTGAAAGACGGTTCAATCAACATCCTACGACGGAAAACTTAAGTAATTTCCGTATTTTTTGCGTCAAGGCACGGCGGACTTGCAGGCAAGCACGACGGACGTCTTGGAAAAAATTTGTTTCGGGGATAACATCTCGCACTCCGATGACAAAAGTATGGAACATGATACAAAAGATAAAAGGTAAAAATTCTAAAGCCACAGTAAAACATTTAAAAGATGGCAATGATTTATTAACATCTGAAAAGGATATTGCCAACAAGCTTGGTGAAAATTTTGCGAAATCTTCTTCTTCTAACAACTACAGGGAAGATTTTAAAAAAGTAAAAAAACAGAAAGAAAAAATAAAGTTGAACTTAAAATAAAAAAATGGTGAAAATTATAATAAACTCTTTTCTCTAAAAGAAATTAAAACATCTCTGTCAAAAGCCCATGATACAGCTTGTGGGCCTGATAATATTCACTACCAACTCTTAAAACACTTGCCAGATTCCTCGCTGGAAGCTCTTTTGCAGCTCATGAATAACATCTGGGAATCTAGTTATTTACCATCACTCTGGAAGCTTGCAACCGTCGTGCCTATTCCAAAACCAAGTAAAGATCACACGGGTCCTATTAATTATCGACCAATTGCTCTTACCAGTTGTGTCTGTAAAACACTAGAACGGATGGTCAATGATCGCCTTGTTTGGTTCCTGGAATCAAATGGGCTTTTAGCCAATATCCACAATATCCAGTGTGGATTCCGACAAGGTCGCAGTACTCTTGATCATCTTGTTCGATTCGAATCATTTGTCCGCAATGGGGTTGAAAGGCAATATGCGAAATTTTATTTCGAATTTTCTGTCTAACAGACAATTTAATGTTAGAGTAAATTCAACCATGTCTGATCGGTATGATCAAGAGATGGGTGTCCCTCAGGGGAGTATTTTATCTGTTACATTATTTAGTCTTAAAATTAACAGCCTTTTTGAAGTTTTGAAAAGTAATATTGAAGGTTCATTGTACGTTGATGATTTTTTAATATGTTACAGAGGCAAATTGAATTACATAGAACGACAATTACAATTATGTCTTGGAAGAATTGAAAAATTGTCCTCGGAAAATGGCTTCAAATTTTCTACTTCAAAAACGGTTGGGGTGCATTTTTGTACCAAAAGGAAATTGCATCTTGACCCAGAACTCACTTTGTACGGAAACCCAATTAAAATGGTTGACGAAACCAAATTTTTTGGATTAATTTTCGATAAAAAGTTAACCTTTCTACCCCATATCAAAATGTATGGCTCTGCAAGGAAGTCCTACATACAGATTCTCGATGCTGTTCATCACAAGGGTTTGCGTCTGTGTCTTGGCGCCTTTAAAACCTCACCAGCTGAGAGTCTGTATGTAGAGGCTGATGAGCATTTACTCTCCAACCGACGCTGAAAGCTTGGACTTCAATACGCTGTCAAGCTAAAAGCATATCCAGAAAATCCTGCCTACGACTGTGTTTTAATCCAATTTACGAAGATGTATTTGCATAACATGAAAATAAAATTCCTCCATTAGGAATTTGTTTAAAACCACATTTAACCACTTTTGCTTTGAAATCTGTCGCACAAGTTGAAACTTGCAAATGTCCTCCCTGGAAACTTCCCAAACCTAAAATAATTTTTGATCTCCGTAAATACAAAAAAAATGAAACAAACCATCTATTAATTCAACAACATTTTGCTGAAATTAAGGCTAATTATTCAGAGTTTTCAACTGTTTATACAGATGGATCGAAGGATGGTAACCGAGTTGCATCTGCTGCTATCCTTGATGACAGAGCTGCGACTCTCCGTTTGTCATCTGACGCATCCATATTTACTGCTGAAGCACAGGCAATAACTTTGGCTTTACAATTTATTGCTACTTCAGACAAATCGAATTTTATAATCTGTTCTGATTCACTTTCATGCTTACAAGCTATACAACATACTAAAATTATAAACCCGATAATTCTCAAGATCTTATCTGTAATGAGGAATTTGAAAATTCTTCATAAAGAAATAATTTTTCTACGGGTACCGAGTCATGTTGGAATCCATGGAAACACGGTTGTAGACCAGGAGGCAAAAAATGCCCTGGATGACCTTTATCTAACTGTGATATACCATATACCGATTTTAGATCGAATATTAGAGAATATGTTTTTAATATTTTGAAAAATGAATGGAGTAAAAAAGATAATAATAAATTACATGAAATTAAACCTAATTTAGGTAAACCTTTCAATAATTTTATGTCCAGAAAAGATCAGTGTGTTATTTCTAGATGTCGTATTGGTCATACTAGAATAACACACGAGTATCTTCTTAAAAATGAAGATGAACAACAATGTATACCTTGCAACTGCAAGTATACTATTAAACATGTTTTAATTAATTGTATTGACTTTGCTGATATTCGTAGGAAGCATTTTAATGTCAACAATATGTATGATTTATTTAATAGTGTTTCAATTACAAATATTGCTTCATTCTTGAAGGAAGTTGGAATATATTATAAAATATAAAAATGTTGTATAAATTTAAACTGATGTTAATTTTTCTCACGTTATCTTGTGTTGGATTTTTATTTGTAAATAAAGAATTTGCTTTAGACTTGAATTTTAGTTTATTGAAGGATTGTCTGATTTTAAAACTATACTGTAAATTGTAAAAATATTAGAATAAGCTCTCGCCGCGATATAGCCTTTTTGTGACCATAAAGCAAACACCAATCAATCAATCGTTTTTCTGAACGTCACAAGATGATAACTTTTAACATGTTGAAATAATATTCTTAAACGTGACTTTAAGATACTGCAATAATTCATTGTTAATGTTGCTTGTGTATGATGAGACAGCTTTCCATCAAATACAAAATGAGAACAATAAAGCCATATCATGTCTCATAAGGCCTCATAGAAAACAGGGGGAAAACACATATCGTATAGAAATAAGGAATGGTAGACACGGGATGACAAAATGAGAAATAATCCAAAGAGAAAATCAATTCTGGGGATGTTTTAACAATCAACCTAACTATTAGCACTCAATATGCAAGATTCGTTTGGTAAAATTAATTGTAAAAATCGATAATTGAACTAACATTTCTTCTTGAAGGTCTTACAGAATACAATAGTTATCACATACTAGCAGACCTATTGTAAGTATTTAAATATTAATCCCAAAGTATGGCACTCATTTGATTGAGAAGGTATCAATTATAAGACAAACCAGAAAAAGCAACGATGTTTCCAGTAATCAGATCTACTTTACCCCGATTCAATGTTGGTCTAATTGCAAATCGTGAAAATCATTTAATGTTTTCACATATACAAATTCCAAAAATGGTCCAATTTATTTTTTCCATCTTTTGAAATACAAGTTTTAGATCTTTCTTACATGTATAAGTAAACAAATCATTCGTCATTGACTTTTTTGCGAATAATATTTTATTGAAAAAGCATTAACGCGAATGCCGGGTATGAATAGAACGACAACATTTGTACTTGAATAAATATTAATTTCATTTTCTAAATGTAGTATCCTTTTAAAATATTTGCTTTTATCCTCTGTTGTTTTTTTAGTTCATTGATACATATGGTATATGTTTATTTCTCTAATTCTGTGGCAATTTAACCCTTTCCGAACCCATTACTCGATAGTTGAATTATCAATTTTAAAGTTCTCGCCAAGGCTCGGACTTTAAAATACGATAATTTGACTATCTCGATTGGATAAATCCGATAATCAACTGGTACCAAGGTAAGAATCTATATTTATACAATCGCATTGAAACATGAGATTTAGCTAAAGTTTGTTTCAGTTTGTCCTGCGTTGGCTTCAAACATTTATACTGGTATATTAATATGGTCACCATGGTTTTTCCATTCCGGTAGTAACACCCATTATATACTGGTAAGACTGTTTGATGCATGGACCATAAGCTATGGGGTTATAAAATCCGAAGCCTCATGTAAGAGCTACGAGTGCCATGCGCTTTGCAAAAAACTATTTAAGGGACATGTTAAATTGTATCAGTACAACAAACACCACTTGTCCGATGGTACTCTAATACTCTAGCCTTCATCATGTCGCGTCATCGCAGACAATACCAACTGTATTGATTGAATCGTAATCCCGACCTGAATATATATAGAATATCTTCTAATTGAACGTTAAGAAACCAACAAATAACAATTCATCATTAGTGCTTCATTTGACGAAGCCTTTATTAATTTGAGTGCAAACTTAATATTTTATTTCAAAATTGTCATCTTATTCTATTTTAGGTTAAATATGGACATAGTTGAATAAAGTCTCGATGTAGGACTTTAAAACCATGAAAATCTTCGTCTGGTGGAGGAACGACGTTTAAATCATCGACTAAATACCTCCACGTTTCACAAGTGTCGTATTGACTTTGTCAAGGACTTGCTTGGTTTTTCGATTTCTATGTTTATAATAATTTTCTTTCGCCTATGTCATCATTCGGACTTTAGATATTTCAGTGTATCGCTTTTTATGACTGGTTATTTATAAATTGTATTTTGTATAACTCAAAATATTGCATCTTAGTACTAACAGTTTTTAAATTCAAAATTACACAAGGTTATATTATTCTTTCAACGGCTTGTTTTACTGAATAAAACAATGTATCATTAATATCAGTGCTCAGTGTTTGCCTCTTTAATTCTAATATTTTACATTTACCTAACTTTTCTCATTTTATCCTATTGGCCGTTGTTAAGTCATAGTAAACAAATTGGCACATGAATTAAGAAAGATAAGTCCGACACATTTTAAACTACAAATGATGAACAAGTGTCAAGCAAGCAAAAGCGAATGAAAATATGTTATATTTATATATAGTCTTTCATAGCCGACCATACGGTATAGCTTTTTCTCTTTGTTGAAGGCTGTACGTTTGCCTATAATTGTTTACATCCACTTCATTTGAACTTCGATGGATAGTTGTCTCATTGACAATCATCTCCTTATGTTTATATCATATGGTGCTTGGCAACAATATTGTACTAAACACAGTAAATAGTTTCTATAGCAATATACATGTAGCAAGACTGGTTTAGAAATATCAAAAGAGATCTAAGGTAGGAATCACATAGTAAAAAGGCCCCGAAGTTAGATGGAACAACATGTATTTACTATATTTAATATACCACAGTTCCGTTTTCGGTTGTTCGTGTTGCTAGCCTTTCTTCTTAAAAAAAAATGTAATTGACAAACAAAAGTAAATCAATTTAGTAAACATAAGGGTGAAAGTCATTATCAGAAGGAATTCAATAAAGATCAAGATCAATTAAACTGTGAAGGAAAACAAAGGATAGGTATCATGGGGAGTGTTTTTATTTTTCAACATGTTTCGTTTCATTTTACTGCAACAGCTTACATTGTTGTAAAATACACTTAATTAAAATTTTTTGAAACAGTTGGCAAAGTTTTTTGTATAAGAAAAGTATGTGTTGTTTGTTGTAGAGCTGCATTAGCACAATTGTTGTTTTACTGATACATACGAACATATTCTGTTTTGTCATGCAAAATGATGACTACCCCAATTTGGTTATCAAATATTGAGAGACCTAAAGGCTTCTTCAAATCAGGTGAAGTATTCAATATGCAAGTAAATTACAGGTATGTGATAAGACTTTTCAATGAATTAACAATAAAATATACAAATATATAAATAGAGGTCACAAATGTGGACTCGACCTTGTCATCGTGTAACTTTAATCGGGATTCAGGTACAATTTAAAAAAAACATGTGCAATCGACTAATATTCAGCTGTTTTGTTTAATGGTTTGTTTGTGATATTATGGATATTCGGGCTCATTGAGTTTTTTTGTTAATCAACATTTTAAGTAACTTAGTGTTGTTATTTGCATTTGTTAAACGTCAGCAGGTGTTTTCAAATGTTATCCTTACTTAAAGATATTGAAAATTACTAAACAAAAAATAAACGACGACCTTATCAATGAACGAACATGTACTAAATATATTAACCTTCGAAAGGTTTATACGATTTGTTGTTGCTAAAATGATACGTTATTAACCCATAATCTTCATGTATATTAAAAACAAATACCAAACATGAACATTTTTTATATGTAATTTTTCCAGTTTAAGTTCATGCATATACGGAAATGAAAATAATTTTTTTTATGAATTGTTCAGCTTTCTGGTATGTCCAGAGCGTCCTCGGATTTTCAACGTGGTTTTGTTTCTCAATTTTTAGTTTCTAAATTGTTTATTTTTGTTTGCTTTGAAGTCATCAAGTCATTGTATTGTAACGGGAACAAAACCTTGTTTAACCCTGCGATAGATACAAGTAATTTTAGGCCAATAAAACAGAGAGCGAACAACAAAAGAGGACTCAGCTTTAAATCTGGAAATACACATGAAACATTAGCTTAGCTAGGAAATCCATATGCATGTATATATATTTGTTTTTTTTAATTTCCTCGATATTAATATTAATAGTATTACAGTTCGAATAAGAAAAAAATGTTTAATATAGTAAAAGAACTAGCATAACTAAAACGAAGAAAACATGTCCAGGAACATATACAACGCACAATGAACAATGAACATTTAACATGTCAAGTTCTGAACAGCCATCAGTTCAGAAATGTTACATATTACATAAAAAAGGATCACTTACTGGTGTAATACCACCATTGATTTTCCCCTATTAGTCTTTGTTAAATTTGCACTTTTCAAAAAATTGTGCTGAATTTATCTTTGTTTCAAATAAAGAAATACTTGGCATGAGTAAAGTTTTATCCTGTCCAGTACTATAGAAAAAATTTCACATAACATTTCATTGCATATAAGAAAATAACCATCACTGGAAGTTAACCAATCAAATTTTCCCCCTTTTTTAACCTGTGTACAAGCTTTAGTAACCATGTAACCTCAACTTTCCAAAATATTCAATAGAAACCCCAAATAAAAAAATAATGGTGCTTTGAAATACCCAAGATATATGTTTATGACCCAGAAATGTTTTACTGCAATGAAATGTAGGATCAATTACCTACAACTGTCAAAATCAAGGGAATATTTTTTTTCGACCTATTTTCGTATGCAACCGGATGTGACATACTATGATTTGGTGGTATTACACCTAAAGAAGACTTTTTTGTTAAATAAACTGAATGTGACTTTTTTCCTTTGTAATACTGGTTATTTCAAGCATTCCTGTCAAGTTTTGTCATAATCAGTTCAATAGTTTGAGAAAAATCTAGTATAATGTAAGACGACATCTGCAGTGTTTCGAGCAAAATTTCTTCGAAAAATCCAAACCAAGCCGCATCATGATAGAATATAGTGTGGACCAATAACTGATCAAATATTTATCTCATCTGCCTACAAACAGTTGAATATGATACAAAGGATGACTTTAGGATGATAAATACTACTAATGGACCTCTTTGTCTTCCTTATAAGGTCTCTTATGGTCCATTTAAACAACTCATTTCCTCAAAATTTCTACTTTTTAGGCCAATAAATAAAATTTTTGGGGTAACTTTCACTCATTTATGATAGAAATGTTATAATAAATGATTAATTGAAGTATTCAAGCTGAATGAACTATCCGTATAAAAGTTTACTGTCTCCAAGGAGGTTTCAATAAGTCCTTACGTAAAACTTAAATTTACGCCGCGTTCCAGAGAGGGACATAAAAAGCTTCTCTTTTGGTGAATAATTTGTTGTTACTGCTTTAAAAATAATTTCATTTACTTAAAACTATATAGTTTTTAAAGTATTTCTTAGGAAAAATTTTCTAGTATAGCAGAATATAAGAAATAAGGAGAAAAAGCTCCCCAAAACTCTAAGTATGGCTTGTTCTGTCAACTAATATTCAGGGTAAAGTCCTATTTCAAGGAAATTTTCTCATAAAGTGTGTTTTGGAGACTCAATCCACTCAGAATATTCCATTGTTTGTAATATTTCACTTAAATAGCAAGAAATTTTAACACATGAGAGTACTCACAAGGTCAAAGGTGCATGTACAGCTTCCCATATTAGGTGTAATACCACCATTGATTTTCCCCTATTAGTCTTTGTTAAATTTGCACTTTTCAAAAAATTGTGCTGAATTTATCTTTGTTTCAAATAAAGAAATACTTGGCATGAGTAAAGTTTTATCCTGTCCAGTACTATAGAAAAAATTTCACATAACATTTCATTGCATATAAGACAATAACCATCACTGGAAGTTAACCAATCAAATTTTCCCCCTTTTTTAACCTGTGTACAAGCTTTAGTAACCATGTAACCTCAACTTTCCAAAATATTCAATAGAAACCCCAAATAAAAAAATAATGGTGCTTTGAAATACCCAAGATATATGTTTATGACCCAGAAATGTTTTACTGCAATGAAATGTAGGATCAATTACCTACAACTGTCAAAATCAAGGGAATATTTTTTTTCGACCTATTTTCGTATGCAACCGGATGTGACATACTATGATTTGGTGGTATTACACCTAAAAACATTCAACATAAACAATGAAAAGATTATAGGACAATGATAAAACAGAGCGATAGTTGAAAGCTGAAAAATTAACGGTTTAATCAATTTTACAAGGAACTTTTCGTTTTGAGTTGTCCTTGGAGTTTGGTATTTTTGTTATTTTACTTTTAATATTTTCCCAAAAAGGTATAAAATTAAGTTTATGAATATGCAATTTTGCAAAACTGCGATAATTGGTTAATTATAACACGTAAAACGATAGATAGACCTTGAACTATTTTTGTTAATGTCAATACTATAAATAGGAAATTCCATCGATTGTTTTTAAAGATCAATTACATAAACTATTATAACATACATTTAGTAAGCTATTTTTAAACGTAAATATCCGATCACTGACATGACAATGTTAGGTAACCTTACCTTGACCTAAAAATGTGAATGGTATCATTTAGTGTGAATGGGTATACCTAGGTAATTTTTCACATATTTTTTCTTTAACTAAATTACCAACCCTTACCTTTTTTGAGACTGGTACTATGCTGTATCACCTGGGAAGAAGCATATTTGACAATTCAAATATTGAAAACTAAGCACAATCATTTTTTTTTCAAAGGGCATTTTCTTTTTTAAACAATTGGTTATTTTTCAATTTTTTAATTACTTTATAAAGTCCTGTAATTAAGCATTGACACATTTTAAACAATTATGTGAATGATAAAACATTCAGACGAATAATGACGATGGAGGTTTTTTTTCTGCCTTTAGTTAGTAGATTTGAAAAATGGGCTATTAAAAATGAATTTTAATACATAATTCAACAAAACCGATCAAAATGGCGTCAATCTAACGTTATCATGATTATGCTGAAATAAAATCCAGAAAATCTGACTTTTAACTGTTGAAGGACCTTTTGTCTGATCTTAAAAAAAACCTTACAGTTTGTTAACATATTTGAATAAGCTCTCGCCACGGTATAGCCGTTTTGTGCTGAGGCGGCGTAAAGCAAACACTAATCTTTCATTTAATTTTATTGTTTATACTTTTTTAAAAACTATTTGAACAGGGAAGCATGAAAAAAAAATCAGAGCATTGAACAATGTCAAAGACGATATTAATAATCGTTGGATTTTCAAATATTTTGATCCCGAGCATCACTTAAGAGACATT